ATATGTTGTACCCCAGCTTGGAGGGATATTACCATTGAGGGAAACTGAGTGAAAAGGCTTACATTATTTCTTCCAACTGTCTGAGAATCTACAGTTACTGCAAACAGATTATTTTTTAAAAATCAAAAGATGCTACCAGGCATCAAGTATGGCACTGTGTCAGTTTGGCAGTTAATGTCATGAGCCAAGGAACCTTGACATCATAATGGCCCGAGCCTTAACTACTACAGAATCCTCAGGTTCAAGGACTCATTTACAGCGCTGTGCCAAGTGCTGTAGACACACTCCATTTTCCTTGGCGACACTCGAAGCTCAAGGATGTTTACATCCATCCAGAAGCGCCTCAAGCTCTTCAGGGGTCCTTCAAGGCATCCCCAATCAAGGTAGACTCTCAATATGCTGCTTTTGAGCATCAGAACCGGTTGGCAGTCACACCAACCCTTGCCCACCCACCCTGGCAGGAAGGGTTCTGTCTCCTTTCCTCTGAAATATGTTAACTGATTCTTACCTTTTGCTCTAGATTCATGAAAAACATTGGTTGATTAGACTCAGTATTACCCAATAAAAGACATTGGAGTTGTGTTCTCCAGGGAGGCAGCTTCCTGAATCCACGAGAGGAACCTTTCTATGGGTCTATGAAAATATCTGCCTCTTCCTGAGAGTTCATGTTCTCTTTCACTTAATTTGTTTTACGTCTGCAACAGAGTTCTATGAGAACTTATCATAGCTAAACCCAATCACAGCTAAGTGCTTCTTGTGTTTAGAAAGTTCTGGATATATTTAGTATTCACTGCTGATGATATTCTTACCTCAAATTGGTCGTTGATTTAGATATGATTGGGCTCTATTTTTCAGCATCCCCAGAATGTTTACGTTCATCTGATAACAAATTGTAATGACTTCTCACAACTCTCTATTTTTATTTAAAGTATATGATGCAACATACTGTCCTATTCTGTCATTTTAACCCTCTTGTCATAATCTGTACCGTTGGTCTCCAGTTCTCCCTTCTTAACAGCAATTGGGCATCTCAGTTGAATGATCTTTTCCACGTGTGAGGGTTGGTGTGCTCCAGGCTCTGGCCTTGAAACTAGTGTCCATAGCCTAAACTCCCTCACGACCCATCTCTCTCAATGGCTCCATAACTCAGGGACTCTGAATTTGGGCTAGCCCTGCAGCCCTGCTAAGGCATTGTGAACTAATTGTTTGTGTAATGTTAAAAGGAAGTAAGATCATGGTCTCAGTAACCAGTGATATGTGTTCTTCATGATGTTTGCCAGGGGACAGCCCCCATGTTAATATCACCCACGGCATGCCAGCGGCACACCCCTTCTGTATGCACCCTGCGTTTCCTGTGGCTGCATTCCATCCACCTCACCTCATAGTTAACCAGACCCTCTGCCTTTCCAAAACACTCATGTGCTGTTGCTCCCTGCCCCTCTACCTTGCATGTGTAAATAAATGTTTGTTTTTGTTTGTTTTCTAAATTGTTCCTTGGATACTATTCTGTTTATATTTGTACCCAAATACTCACACCCAGAACCATGGCGCAGGATTGGACCCGGTGTTGGTTTTTTAGACATTTGAACTTTAACCACAAATGCTGTGTGTTGACCCATTAGAGTAAATGAAAGACTGACTAGTTCAGATCATCCCCTTTTTTTTTTTTTTTAAGATTTACTTATACAAGCACTGGGTACAGTCAGAAGCGGGGTAGGGTGAGAGAATTCACCAGAGCCAGAGCAGGGAGCAGAACAGGCAGAAGGACCAAAGTACACTGCTGGGGGAGCAGCGAGTGCTGCAGGAGAGGTCTGTCACGCCATGTGGGACCTTTGCCTGATGGGCGGGGATCGAACCGGTGCTGCAGAGGCTGCAGACAGCTTTGCAACCTAGTGCTCAACCACTGCGCCACCAGGGATGCTCAGATCATCCCCTCTTTTTGGTCCATCCATGTCAGGATGTCATTTACTCAATATATGTTCTGAATGTTTCCATCGTTCAATAGCAGTTAGAATTCAATTACGAGGGATATATTGCAGGGTTCTTGGTATGAGGTTGGCGTGGGGTGTGACCATACACTGAGGACAGAACATGTCCCTTAAAGTGTGTGCTGCGCTGCTAACTGGCTAACAATACTTTGAAACAAGAATCACTGATCTATCTGGTATAGACACTTGCCTCCATGAACTTAATAATCTAGTAGGGAACATCAGATGGACATTCAGATAACAATTATGGGTGCTCACAAGGGAAACTACAAACATCTTTAGTAGGGTCAAATTTTCAATGCACAGTCCTTTAAGAAGGAGACTTGCCCCTGTGAGGGGCGATGAGAGGTCAACACTGGCAGGAGGCTGGGTCCTGCTGAGGCAGCTGGATTTGAGCCCTTCATGTTCCTTCCCAGCTCCTTGGCCTCCTGGGATGTAGCCAGTTTGTGCAGCAGCCTCCTCACCTGTCATGTGGCCCATTTTCCAGTGGAAGGGAAAACTGTCTTTACAGAAGATGTCTTCAGGGGACTATTGTAGTTTATTTTATTTTTTTTTTTAAAAAGTAATTTTTTTATTGGTAAATTCTGCCATACATGTAAAACCAAATATAATGAACCAAATCTTTTTTCCACTATAGAAGAAATATGAGCATACCTAACACATTGTAGAGGAAGAACACTGCTTGTTTGGTTAAAAAAAAAATTCATTTGCTGCCCAAAAATAGATGACTGGATCAAGAAGATGTGGTACATATACACCATGGAATATTACTCAGCATTCAAAAAAGATAAACACATGCAATTTGTAGCAACATGGATGGAGCTGGAAGGGATCATGCTCAGCGAAATAAGCCAGAAAGAAAAAGAAAAATACCGGATAGTCTCACTCATAACAGAAATCTAGAAAACCTAAATAAGGGACCAGGAAAAAGAATATAAGAAAGAAAAAAATCAAAATCAACAGACAACTATGAACCAGAGACACACTTTGGCAGGGGGTCAAAATCAGGGGGTTGCAATTGTATGGGGAATATAAAAATTAAAAAAATGAAATGCAAAAAGATAAGATTAAAATTGGATTGGCCATACGACCCAGTAAATGCACACCTTGACATCAGTGCAAAAAATTTAAAAATACTAATTTGAAAGGAAACTTGCACTTGTGTGTTTATTGCAGCAGTATTTACAATAGCCAAATTATGGAGACAACCTAAGTATCCAAAAACAGATAAATGGATCAAGAAAATGTCATATATGTACAAACTAGAATATTACTCAGCAATAAAAAAAGATAAATGCATGCCCATTATAGAAATGTGGGTGGAGATGGAAGGAATAATGCTAAGTGAAATAAGTCAGAAGGAGAAAAATAAATACTGAATGGTGCCATTTATATGTAGATTAAAGAGAAACCAAACCAATAAAGACAAGTTCACAAACTGAAAAAAAAAAAAATTCATTTTCAAGGTAAAAGCAAGATACTTTGAAAACACTTCTGCCTGGCACATTGGCCAATAAAAACAATGAGCCTCTACTTTGTACTGTACAAAATACAGTGTGTATCATCTACTTCCCTTTCACACATATTTCCTTTCTAGTAAGTTACTCACCCAAGTCACACACACTTCCTGTGGGAAGCTATTTTCTCTAACTGTAAGCATACTTTGAAATTAGCACTTCTTGAAAAGTTTATCTTACTACTGAAAAAAAAGTTTTCTTTAAAAGGATTTGATGTGATGCTTTTTTTTCTAACATACCTGTTTGAGGCTCAGCTGAAAGACTGATGTTTTCTTTTCTAATTGCTTTTAAATTTAGTCAGTTTACTCAAATTTAGCAAGTATGTGCCAAGCATGGGCTCAATGCCTTGCTTTTCAAAGCAATATAAGATATCCTTGAATCCTCATCAAATACTGTTCTCAGCAATAAATACATAGTTTACTTGTGCTGCTCTAATTCCTTTGTTTTTTAAACTACTTTACTTGATTTTGTCCATTTAAAATATTTAGAAAAAGAGAAATAAGATTTTGTAGATTTAGCTAATGAATGATTCAAAATTCAAAAAAAAAAAGCAACAGAATTTAATTTGAGGACTATTGTAGTATAAATACGTGGCACTGAGAAGCTGTGAAAATACCTTGTGAGCAGATGAAAATAATGTTACCAGCACCACATGCAAAGAAATCAAGGAAAATGCCCTATAGCTCAGAATGGCTGGGGGTGTGGTGGGAGGAAAGCTAATGCTGGGGTGGTTGTGGGAATACTGAATTGCTCCTACAGGGCTTGAGAACATGAGATTCTGCAGACATTCTGAAAAGCAGATGGTCAGTCTTTTAAGAACCAGAGGACAAGCAGACCTACAACTGCCATACAGCCATGCAATTATATTCCATGTTGCCAAGAACTGGAAGATTTACACTGACACATAAACCTGGATATAGATACTTGCAGAAGTTATTTCCAGTTCAAACTGAAAACAAACCAGTGGTCCTTCAGCAGTGTCTGGTGACTAAGCTGTGACTACCCATGTCATGGGCCACTACTAAGTGACCAAAGACAGGAACTCTCATTGGGGGGGATATGTTAAATTGACTCTGTAGTGATGCTGAGTGTGGACAAAAGCAGCACCAGAAAGGTTATACATGTGTGAGCTCAAGTCTATAATATTCTGAAAATGGTACAGTTGTGGAAATGGTTGGCAGATTGCTAGTTGCCAGGGAATCAAGAATTGGTAGAGGTGGGTGGCAGTTGTGTGTGCTTGTAGAGGGTAATGTGAAGATATCTGTGGTGACTGAGAGATTCTGGTCTTATCAGGGTTCATATGCTAGTAATATGTTGTACCACAGCTTGGAGGGATATTACCATTGAGGGAAACTGAGTGAAAAGGCTTACAGCCTCTCTCATTATTTCTTCCAACTGTCTGAGAATCTACAGTTACTGCAAACAGATTATTTTTTAAAAATCAAAAGATGCTACCAGGCATCAAGTATGGCACTGTGTCAGTTTGGCAGTTAATGTCATGAGCCAAGGAACCTTGACATCATAATGGCCCGAGCCTTAACTACTACAGAATCCTCAGGTTCAAGGACTCATTTACAGCGCTGTGCCAAGTGCTGTAGACACACTCCATTTTCCTTGGCGACACTCGAAGCTCAAGGATGTTTACATCCATCCAGAAGCGCCTCAAGCTCTTCAGGGGTCCTTCAAGGCATCCTCAATCAAGGTAGACTCTCAATATGCTGCTTTTGAGCATCAGAACCGGTTGGCAGTCACACCAACCCTTGCCCACCCACCCTGGCAGGAAGGGTTCTGTCTCCTTTCCTCTGAAATATGGAATTCTTACCTTTTGCTCTAGATTCATGAAAAACATTGGTTGATTAGACTCAGTATTACCCAATAAAAGACATTGGAGTTGTGTTCTCCAGGGAGACAGCTTCCTGAATCCACGAGAGGAACCTTTCTATGGGTCTATGAAAATATCTGCCTCTTCCTGAGAGTTCATGTTCTCTTTCACTTAATTTGTTTTACGTCTGCAACAGAGTTCTATGAGAACTTATCATAGCTAAACCCAATCACAGCTAAGTGCTTCTTGTGTTTAGAAAGTTCTGGATATATTTAGTATTCACTGCTGATGATATTCTTACCTCAAATTGGTCCTTGATTTAGATATGATTGGGCTCTATTTTTCAGCATCCCCAGATAACAGAATGTTTACGTTCATCTGATAACAAATTGTAATGACTTCTCACAAATCTCCATTTTTATCTAAAGTATATGATGCAACATATTGTCCTATTCTGTCATTTTAACCCTCTTGTCATAATCTGTACCGTTGGTCTCCAGTTCTCCCTTCTTAACAGCAATTGGGCATCTCAGTTGAATGATCTTTTCCACGTGTGAGGGTTGGTGTGCTCCGGGCTCTGGCCTTGAAACTAGTGTCCATAGCCTAAACTCCCTCACAACCCAATGGCTCCATAACTCAGGGACTCTGAATTTGGGCTAGCCCTGCAGCCCTGCTAAGACATTGCGACTAATTCTTTGTGTAATGTCAAAAGGAAGTAAGATCATTGTCTCTGTAACCAGTGATATGTGTTCTTTGTGATGTTTGCAGGGGACATCCTGGTATGCTGATGCAGATCCAGGATGAAGGGGACAGGTCTGTGAATGCCAAGCGTACCCTGCTGTTCCACAGTCCTGTGGAAATTCAGAGTCAGAGTGGCAAGAGGAAGCATAGGTGGCACCTCTTCTTGTTCAATGATGTTTTACTTTTCTCTAATACCAAGTATGTACACCCCGCTCGCTCCCCAAATAATCGTATTGGTGTACATGTTAGTAAATTGCATTTGCTGTAAGAAATGCTATTTCTGTAAGAAAATACTAAGACACGGTGTTTGTGAACTGAAAAGCAAGTGTAGCTATCAGTAAATCATCTGAGATAGAGATAATATAATGTAGCTGAGATAAGTTGCCTCCTGGTGTAGGGTGGAGGTGGTGGGTGTTATCTTCTAGAGGACAGGGAGAAACACTGTCCAGGCCTTGGCATGGGGGCAAGGAGATGCACTCAGCAGAGGCCATGGAGAGGGAAACACCACTATTGTTGAAAACCTTGAGTAGTTCCTGTTCTCTCCACTTAACCAGGTTGAGCAAAGGAACCTGACATTCATTGGGTGCTTCTCCAAATCCCCTAGGAAAGATGGCAGTTGTCTCATGGGATTTTCCTAGAGCCCTCCAGACAGGTCTGGTGAACATCTCCAGGCCTCAGATATGAAGGTGGAAAGCGAGACAGACTCAGTTACTTGCCCAAGACCATGCACAGGGAGTTGTGCATGGGCACAGCCTCCAAACCAGACCTCGCTGACACACTGCGCTGACCACTGCCCTGCCCAGCCTGAGAGCTAAACATTCAGTCAACTATGATGCTATTTCCAGCTCAGTAGGCGCTTGCGTAGACCTCTTACATCCGGTGTTAAGGACATGTTCTTCCACATTGTTGTGGAAGCACAATATCACTTTCTCCAAGTTAATAATCCAACTTAGTGCCTTGTGTTGCACAGATTCTAATATGCTGCAGCTCATCTTCTGGTTTCATCTGAGAATTCTGCTTTCCAAAACACTTCAAAAGATTCATAGACAGTGGCTCCTCCCAAGTTAATTCCTTTAGATATGTTGAAACGAAAGACAGAGAGAAACCACTGTATCACAAGGCTCGACTCCCTCATCCTCACCTTGCCCAAGGCTTTGGATGGAGATTATCCTTTGGGCGAGCTTTGCACTAATTTTCTTCATTTCATCAAATCCCATTGAGCGATTTAAACTCAAACTGTGCATGAATGAGTGAAGTGAATTCCTAGAGAAATGTGCATGTGAGGGGCTCACCTCTTTGCAGCTTCTACTTTTCCACAGTAGAAGTTGTGAGCAGCTAGGAGTCCCAGAAGGATGTGTCAATTTTCCCTGAAAACCCTTATAAGGCTCGTGATTATGTAAATATATCCTAAGCGTTAAATGTGTGAATTCAATAGGAAACACTGTGGTTTCTAAGTCATAGGTCAGAAATCAAGTGACAGAGCTCTTGTTGGGTTCTCTCTCCAGGTATGAGAAAATCTTTAAGATAAAAAAGAAAGTCCCCCTGAGCACCATGTGGACTTGCACCTGCGGGGACAGTGCGGGGCACACCCGCTCCCTAGTGTTGGGCTGGCACCATGACTGCCTGGTGGCCACCTTCAGGTAAGACCTGCAGCTTGGTCCTGTGTTGACACGGGTGGAAAATGGGCAGGGTTTAATAGTGATTGTAGAGTACTCCAGCAGCTGACGTTTGACCAACATGTTATATGACATTGTGTGTTTGTGCTTTTACCCAAATTTGGTTTGTATGTGCAAATACATACACGATGATGAGTAGTGGGAACACAGGGAGAAATTTACTGTGTTTCTGAAGGGCTTTGGTTTTTCAAGTGGGCCCTAAGCTACTTGGGGAATAGGCTATTTGGGATAAATGGCAGGAGAATGGGACAGCAGGTAACTGGGGCCCTAGACATCTGTCCCCAATGCCCAGAAAGTATTGAAGTCACAGGATTGGCTTTCTTGAATCAGTACTATCGCAAAGTACAATGAAAACTGAAAAATTGCATTTATGCTCCCAAGTTAATTCCCTTAGAGATGGTTTTCATGCAAGTAACATTCATGTTATCATCCAGTCCTATTTCCTGACTTGCTGTCTACGGTCGTTGGTGTCCATAGTGAGGACACAACCTGCAACAAAGGCATCATCATAGGGGCCTTGTTAGTTTCCAGGACTCAGTCATTCCTGGGCTGTAGGAGGATGGAGGGTGTGGCCCCTGCCTGTAAGTTCCCAGGAGGCTACAGCAACAGATCTGCTGCTCAGAACAACCTCCCCCAGAGCCTTGGTTTGCACAACAAGTATTTTCATTTCCTGGCTATGGCCTGTGAAAGAGCAGGGTGCCTCAGATGCCCAGTGAAAGGAGTGTCCACCTTGTACCTGGACCCACAGACGTAGCAACTGGCTGCTAATACTCCATCTAAAAGCTAATCTAATATTTTAGTGTTTGTGTGGCTTAAATTTTTTTCCTGTTCTTTTAAAATTGCAGTTCTCCACAACTAAAGGGAAGATGGCATGCTTTCCTTCAAAGGTATTTTATTAATATACACAATTTAAAATTTAATCTGATAGATGAATGTAAGTTCCCCTAAAGCAGTGCCCCCAAACAGTGCTCCGTTTCTTTAATGAGTCTTGTTCCTCCATTCTTAAGTAACTGCCCGTTTCGAGTCACCCCAGCTGTGTGTACAATGATGGTCTCTCGTTTTCATGCATGTTTGGCTTATCATTTAGGGAGTTCTGGTGATCACTCTCATTTCCCCCTGCTTTCCAGCCAGTCTTTGGCGCTAATGTCAGCCTCAAAACTTACATTGAATTTCCTCATGTGCTTTTAGCCACCTGGGTGATTGCAGATCAACAGCCGCTTCTTGCCCATGACTCCGGGAAGGTGCTGAACCGTACAGTCTAGGCAACAAAGCGTTGAGGCCTGGATCTGCTCTGCCAAGTCTCAACGTGGGGCAAATTCCTATTTCCTGGGCCACATTTACTTTTCTGAAATATGTCCGTATATTTTCTCCAACCCATCATTTGATTTTGCGGAGGCTATTTATAAGCCTTAATGCATAAAGCGTGCACATATTAGTCACATAGATTGATTTGACCGGAAGCCGACAGGTGCTTGAGCCTAGTCTCACTTTGGATTGTTACTGAATTTGATCAGGTACATCAATTTAGCTAAGAAGAAGGACAAAGTCAAAACTGCACCTCTTACGATCTACACAGAGAACATCAAGAACTGCGCCTTTGTAAGTGTTTTTAAGACTGAAACTAGATCCCAAGTTCTTGGTTTAGGCAGAATAAAAGTGATGGAGGTCGAGGTAGAGATGGAGATGAAAGAGGGCAGTTGAGTATTAAGAAAAATTCCAAGAGCCGTATCCTTTTTTGGTGGTGTATGTGTAAATGTGAATCTGCGGCCCAGTGAAGCCAGAGGGTCCATGATAGCCACAGAGTTTTAGCTGGAAACATGAATATCCATCATGTGTCTCTGACCCTTCTCAGAGCAAGTCCATAGTTTGTTATAATAAAGTGATTTTCATAAGCAGGTCTCTCTCAGTGCAGGTAAATATCGCTTCTTAACAGTGGTTACTCACACATGCAGAGTGGTTTTCATTATTTTCATAGTTTTCTTTTTTTATTTTGTTGGCAATGCTTAAAAATTTACATCAAATTTGTAAAGTAAAAATAGTATAAGACTACCCCATGTACTCTGTTCCCAAGATTCTAATGTTTCCAATTTTCTTAGAAAATAGTGACATTTTACTCTAAGGTCTTCTTCTCCCTCTGTCTCCTGTGTCTCCCTATCGTATATGTAACTCAATTTTTGAGGGTCCTGCATGCACCCTGGTCATTCATCCTTGAATATTTAGACATTTGCCAACAACAAGGATATTCCTTATACAAGCACTGCACACAGTGAGACCCTTAGTTCTGTGTAACTTTGGTGCAACACTTTAAACTATATTCAAGGCCCATGTAGTCAGGCGACTTCCCGAATGTCTGCTCTCCAGGTCTTGTGCACACAAAATGGAATAACTTCATGTGCCATAAAAGAAATAAATTAGATAAGTTAGAATTAAGGGCTCATGGCCTACATGTGCTTTACTGTGACCTGAAAGCTAGATTTGTCCAAAGAATATGGATGATGTTTACACAGTAATACCTACTCTCCTGTTTGAAATGTTTCACTTAGATCCATATCTCTTTTACTTTTTACAGTTCTTACCTATGATCGTTTCTTATAAAGATACAGTGAATGATGTTATCAGCATGTCGCTCCCAATGCTGGGTGTAACTGTGAGTTGCTTTCAAGCTTCTTTTAGTAACAAACCAACTTTGATTTTCAAGATAGTGTTTGTGTGTGTTTGTGTGTTTGATGATTTTCTCTTTCCTTATGATGGCAAATCTTTTTAGATATCAGCAGAGTCATAGTTTACCTCCTATATTTAGAAATGTCAGACACTTGTTTTTCAGGGACCCATGAGGGTCATAGCCAACAGAGTCCAAGGAGTCTGTAGACAGCAGAATATAGAATCTTGACACTTAATTTCTACCTCTTCGCGAAAGGGCAGAACTGGGTCTCCCATTAAGCAAGGGGCTCAGCCCATTGCAGGGCCATAGATCCCTGGTCTATCAAAGGGACCAGGCAAGCCTCAGAGATGGTTCATGGATGCTGGGAGGGAACAGACTGGGACCTCCAAAACCGTAGCCCCCTCCTGGCCTGGCCAAAGAGCATGTGTACTGGCCCATTGCTTTCTGATTTGGAAAGAATTAATTCTCAGGAAGTGTTTTCCTCAAACTATTCCTGTGAATAACTTGTGGTGACCCCAAGTTTTCTCGTCTCCTAGGGCTCTGAGAAAGACTACCAGTTGTGGGTGCATGCTGGCAAGGAGGAGGCCCCATATCCGCTGGCTGGTGAGTATCAGGGCATCTGCGATGTGGCGAATATGTTATTCGAATATGTTATTCGAAAGGCTCACAGGAAAGGTTCTTCAGTTTCAGCTGAAGTACAGTAAAAGTGGCCAATTGTGACATATTCATCCACACATTTAGTCAGCACTTACCAAGCCCTGACTCTAGCCCAGGCATGAACAGCAGCACCGGGACCTACTTATGCCACAGTGGCTAGCAATAGCTTGATAGCAGTGATACTTTAACCCCTGCTTCACCAGGGAGGCCATTCTATTCTTAATACATAAAATCCATGTCATGGCCCAGGTCAATGAGTATTATATGGAGAAGCAACAATTTAAACCCAATGAGCCAAACAAATCTCCTGGTGTGCAGCTTCTAGTATCTCAGTGTGTGTTCAGTAAACACTGTTTTCACACTTAGTTTTGGTTTCCAAGACCCTGCAGCCCCCACTGTGGGGACAGCATAGTTCCTCCTTCAAATGAGGTGAGCGGTGAGAGGGAGGCAGAGACAAAAGTGCCCCTGTGCTCTGCAGTAGCCCTGACTACAGAACCCTGAATGGAGAAGGGAGATGTTTCTGTAAAATCAGCACTGGTAATCCTCAGAATCTTATCTGGGACCTATCTAGGACAACTACTTTAAAAAAAAAAGTGCCAATGTTTATTGATGTAGTTGTGCATCCTTACACATCTCTATGCCAGGGGCTGCCCTGGAACAATAACTGTGTGTGTCTCCGTGCCAAACTCTTTGGTCTAAAATGTGCAGATCTAGCTGGGACAAGGTAGAAACTAGACCTTCAAGATTCTCATGTGGAAACTCTGAAAGTCAGCATTGTGTAGAAGGCCACTCAGCTGTGCATTCTGAGCTAAGCAACTTGTTGAAAATAGAATTTGTTGCTCCCATTTGAGTTCTTGCCTGTGCCACTGCCTGAGGCTGGTCCTGGAGAGGGTGTGGTGACCCAGAGTCAGGACCACAGCCTCCTCTCCAGCAGCCCCGGGGGAGCACCCACATAGCGGTTGTGTCCACACTCATGGACACTGAGTCTGCTCACCCATCCCCATCACCCGAATCTGTACTGACACTTCTTTCCCTCCAGGGAGTGAATACCTGCTTGGGAACAGGCAAGTCCCTGTGACCACACTCCAGCCTCAACGACTAGAGGACATCCTCTCCCCCTCTACCCTGGAGGACCAGACATCTATGGGTGAAACCCAGTTGGTCCTGAAGCCCAGGCTGCTCACACCTGGGAAGAAGGAGGGGAACGGTACAGGTACATTCACCGTTTAATTGGCTTTGGGGAGAAGGGACACAGGTGGGCCAATGTCATGGGAGAGGCTGAGGCATCACTGTGCTGGAGCCAGAGCTCCACCCAGGCAGTACCTGCCTTCTGCTGCTGCTCTGAAGGCTGGCTCAAGGGCGACGCTATCCTGACCATCACCCAAAGCACTGCACCCTCAGGTGTGGACACCGTCACCGCCTCTCAGTTAAGCCACATGGTTGGGGTATAAGGATATTTGGTGAAAACTGCTCCTCTGTTTATCCTTCTACAGTATGGCTCCTGTTTTGGTTTATGTCTTTTTTATCCTGACATGTCTCAATGACCAGGAGTGAGCTGAAATGACAACGAGGGGCTCAGAGCCAGCAAGCACATTGTATAAAATGTACAGGTGCCGTTAAGGTCAAGGCACATTAATTTCACAAAAGTTCAGCTTCCTGATTAGGAAAATAGTCAAAGCCATGCAGGAGGGACTGTGAACTCAGCTTTACATAGCCGGTGAGCTTTTCTCAAACAGCTCCTCAGCAGCGTGAACCTGCCACATGGTCATCATCACAGGACAGTTCCAGGGTCCAACTGTAGGAGCTCCTGAGGCCTGTCCTGCAGAGCACTGGGCTCTAGAAGGAAGAATCCTGTCATGGGAGAAAGGAGACCTTTGTTGGTCTCCAGAGACACAAACAGGAATGGTGGAGTGGAGGAGGCTCCCATGACATAGACCCATGAGGCTGGGATGAGTGACAGCCAAAATGATTTAGCTTTCACTATGGAACCTGCCACCTTAATTCACTGGCAGTGCCTACCAGCAGGACACGGGCAACTGCATCTGAAGTGCCCACACTGCATGTAATGTGGGGTGTATCGCACAGTGGTGGGGGCTCCACTGACAGTTGTCTGAGTGTGACCATGCCTGTAGGTTGACCACCTGGATTGCAGGTAGGGGGAAGCAGAGACTCACATCCCAGGATGCAGTCAGCCCGTGTCAGCAGCTGGGGAATTGCACAGGAATGGTGCACAGCCAAAGATTCCCTTTCTCTCTCTCCTAGCCCTCACAGGTACTGCTGCCAAAGGTAAATGGTGTCGAGAGGTTCAGAGAATTAAATATCACCTAATCTCACTTCTTCCTAGATCTTGTACAGAAGACACGAATAAAGAAGCTCAGCTGGGCCTGGTGGAGGCGCTCTCGCTCGGGCCCGGAAAGCCAGGGCCCCCCTCCCTCCTCTACAAAGTCAGGCCAGCTATTTGGGGTGCCTCTGGAAGACCTTTGTGAGAAGAATGAACTACCCCCACAAATCTGGGTAGGTGTCACTGTCGTCTCGGGTAGTGTTCTTGAGCAGGGAGATCTCCAGATACCAAGTGTCCTTTTCTTGGTCTCCCTCGAATGGAGAAGACCTTAGCCAGTCCTGGCTTTGGTGGAAGTATCCCTAATAGTGTCTCAAAGGGGTTAGATTTGTAATTCGGTGCTGGAGCATCAAGGCCTCCTTTGGCCTAAATGAATCCTTGGTCCCAGTAGGACCCAAGGAATTCTTCAGTGTGGTCCCCGCTCACTCACTGAGTGGCTGAGTGATCCGAGTCTACACAGAGTGTGCAGGTCTCTGCCACTCTCTACTCTGTGAAGGGTCTTTCTGGGAGATGAGGCAAAATTGATATCAATCATCGGGTGGAGCTTGCTGGCTACCACCTCAGTCCAAAGTGTATCAGGGAGGTGGCTATGATGATCACCCCACTTCTGAAATAAATAGACTCTAGGTGAGGTAGGTACCGAGTCCAGGGTGTCACAGGGGATAAGCCACACACAATGTCCAGCCCCTCCCCCCTGGCCCTACACTCATGTCTTTCCACATTGCAAGCTGAGACTTGCAGGCACAACTCAGGAAGAGAAGACCGCTGAGCAGGGCGTGTCCAGAATCAAGGAGGAGAGAGACCTGAGCCTGACGTATAACAGGGTCCAGAGTACTCCAAGTGTGAATGGGGCACAGTCACTTTGAAGGAGTTTATAAATGGGCAATGAGCCTGGAAAAATGTGTCCCACACCCGGGGAAGAGCATCTGTGCTAGAAACAATACAAATGTGGGATTGGGATGGGGAGTCCACAGAGACCTTGAAACAGAGACATTGGATTTCAAAGTGTCGGTTTCCTGACAAGGGAAATCTGATGGAAAGAATCCTTTAAGATTTTCAGTGTATGAATGTAGACTGGATCTTTGGGTACAAACATACTCAAAGTAGACAAGAAGCTTTCCATGTTCACATCCCCCTCAGCCCCTCCCACACCACGGCTCTGTAGAAAGCAGCTGTCTGTGCCCAGGTCTTGGACTGAATCCGCTTTCCTTTTCTTCCCTACAGGACCTGCTGGTCCATATAAATGACAGAGGGACACAGGCAGAAGGCATCTTTAAGAAAACTGCCAGCATGAAATTCTGCCAAGTCCTCAAAGAAAAGCTCAATCGAGGGGAGGACGTGAACCTCAACAATGAATCTGTTCACGTGGTGGCATCAGTGCTCAAGGTTAGGGCAGTGGGAGCTCCACTCCCAGCACCCTCTGAAGCTGCGGGACTGTGGCATGTTCACAACTTGCCTGGGCTATTGGATTTGGAGGGTAACCTTCTGAAAAACACCTCACAGAGACACAAGTCTAGGAAACTACTTTGGGTATTAAATGTCCTGTATGTGAAATACACCTTCTTTTTTCTCACATACCACCTTTCCCAGCTTCACTACTGTGCACTCCTGGCAAAATAATAATGAAATACACAACTTTGTCCTTGTCTTCCTGATCTTTCCTGGCACACTTAATGGTGCCTACCCAGAATAGCCCCTCTGTATCGTAGAAGAATATGCAAGACTGCATACTTACCATGACGCTTACCTGAGGCCCTTTTGGAAAGAGAGGCTCTTAATGAGGAGCCGTGGGCTACACAGAGCAGATAAGCAGGTGGTCTTTGAATAAAAGGTGCTGAATTCCCATCCATCTTGCACAAAAAAATTAATGCTTCAGTTATTTCCCTTGGCCCAATTGGATGTTAAGATGGTATAGCAGTTCTCTTAGGAGACGCATTCCCAGACCTCCACTTAGGAAGTGGGCATTTGCCTGTCTCTAGTGCTGCTTCTCAGACCCTGAAGCTGTGATCTCCCTGTTGGGGTTTATTTTCCCCAGTAAGGAGGATTTGTATGTTTCAAGTCATGGGGTTGAACCGGGTGAGCTAACATGGTTTATGACTGGACATTTGCATATATTTGCCTCACCTGTTCTCACGATTGTGTGCAGGAGCATGTGGGGCACGTGAGCCGTGGTGTCGATATTCTCTTAGAATTTAGCCAGTCGAGGGCCTCCCCGGTGGCGCAGCGGTTGAGCGCTGGGTTGCGAAGCTGCCTGCAGCCTCTGCAGCTGGTTCGATCCCCGGCTGCTCCCCGGCCACCGGAGGAGGCTCCCACATGGCGCGCAGACCTCTCCTGCCGCCCGCTGCTCCCCTCAGCAGCGTACTTCGGTCCTTCTGCCTGCTCTGCTCCCCGCTCTGGCTCTGGTGAATTCTATCACCCTCCCGCGCTTCTGACTGAACCCAGTGCATGTATAAACCAAACAAACAAACAAATAATAAATAAATAAATAAATAAATAAGACATGCCTCTAGAAAATTAAAAAAAAAAAAAAAAGAATTTAGCCAGTCGAGATCACTGTGTCCTAAATGACAAGCAAAGGAATGTGTATTTCTTTTTGAAAAACTTCAGAGGATTGGGTGTCACTTCTCACCTGACCTTTCACTTGGAGTGGGTTTGGTAACGTGTCCACCAAGACAGCACTCCCCTGGAAAGAAGTGGGGTTACCTTCATCCCCACCACAGCCACGTGGTGCCCTTTGACTGCAATGTTCTGGTTGCAGAGATGCTGTGGGCTGCAGCAGCTGTGTCTGCTCAGACTTTGGGCAGCTGTGTGTTTGTGGGCTGAGATCAGTTGTTCAAATGAATGTTTTCACTGTCATTTCCTCAATCAATACTGGCCTTGAGAATAATTTCATCCTTATATTTTTATGTAAGGATTTCCTTCGAAACGTTCCCGGGGGTGTGTTCCCTTCAGGCCTGTACGAAGAATGGCTTGGTGTCACCGACCAAGGGAAGCAGGAGGAGAAAATAACTGCCACTCAGAGGTGATGATGGGTTCTTACTCTACTTGGCTCCTGTCTCAGAAATGCAGCGCCCCATACCCCCCCCCCATACTGTACGAAAATATTCTTTTCTCCTCCCAGCTTTATCCTCTGTAATAGTGATCAGAGCCGCAAGGTTGCCCTGTATCACACCTGGGGAGCCAGTTTAGAGATTTGTCCTGCCTTCCTGCCCTATTGAACCTGTTCTTTCCCCTGATTTTTTTCCTTTGGAACCCATGCACACCCTTTCGACCTATGAAACTAATTGGGCATGAAATCTAGTATGTAAATGGCATGGTATATGCCAATCTGCTTGGGGTTTTTCCTTTATTCATCCCAACAGTTAACTAACCAGAGAGCTTATCTGGCTCAGAATGATCCGTGAAATATGTTTATATGTGTTCATGCCACTTCCTCTGCTAGTCTCTTAGCTGCATTAGGTCTCCTGTGGACTCTGTCAATTTTCATACCTTATTCCTACCTTAATTAAGGGACAATTTGAAAAGCTGTTGCTGTTCAATTTCAACAATAAACTTGTGTGAGCCTTAGTTGAGCCCATTCTGAAATGTACAGGGTTTTAACATAGACTAGAGGTTATAAAGATTTATGTAAATCTCTCCATTAGAGTGGATGCAGGAGATACTGCATGTGTGTTTTCCTGAGACCTTTGTGCAGTTTTGTCTATTCTTGGGTTGGGCCCTTGACAGAGCAGCCCACTGTTCCCTGTCTCTGCATTTCCGACTGCTTCCATGCAGTGTTTGCTTAATATAAAATGTGTGTCTGTCTTCAGACTTGTGGACCAACTGCCAGGTGCACACATTATTCTCCTGCGCCACCTCTTTGGAGTGCTGTACAACATGAAGCTGCACTCCTCAGTCACACAGATGACTGCCTACAACCTGGCAGTATGTGTGGCCCCCAGCCTGTTCTGTCCTCCAACTTCCGGCTGTCCAGAACTAGTGGATGCATTTAGAAAGAAGGTAATTGATTTCTAATTTTGGTCTGGAGGATGGGGGTCAGCACCCCTACTTTAAGCCCCAAATCTTCAGCATAAATTAAGATGAACCATTTTTTCAAATTGGGCACATTTGTGTCTCCATGTTGGTGGGTACGGGATGGGGGTTTGCAAAGTGGAAATTGGATGGGTGGTCACTTCTTTCCCATCCAGGACAATGAACACAAGATACATTAAGGCACAGGGAACAGGAGAGGACAGGGAGGGATAGAATAGAGGCATCTTTAGGGTCTGCCAAGCCCAGGGTCACCTGTCATCTGATCACCAAGCGGTGGGTGACCTTAGGCAAAGTGCCCAGTCATGTCCCATCATTCAACACTCATGGCAATGGCAACACCCTGCTCTTGGGCTCTCCTGTACCTCGTGGGCGTAGGTGGGCAGGATGAGCACCTGGGACTTCACACACACTGGCTTCCGTGCCAAGTTGCTTATGTAGAAATCCTAACAAATATGTCACCTCTGTATGGAGTACAGGAACTAGAATAAGATTCCCGAACATTCTAAGGGAGCTTTAACATGCCAAATGAGATCCAAGCTCACACAGAGAGCAAGTGTGAGACAAGGATCTCTACTGATGTAGCATACACGCTTCCTCTTCAGCCCTTCACTCATTGACAAAACACCAAAAGAAAACTTTGCTCTGTCTTCTTCACCAAAAGGTGACCTGCACAAGTATTTCTCTATTGGACGCTTTTAAAATATTATTAAGTCAATTATATTTTAGTACATCTAGGTCATTACACATATAAAAATTAGAAACATAAAATTGGAGAATATACTTCTCTAATCTAACCATACTATGTGGGTCACTTTAAATTTATCCTATTGTTAAATCATATTACTGATAAGACAAAATTACCAAGTCAAGGAAACTACCAACTGAAATATTATTTTAGAGTAGAACTCTTAAAATCTATGCACAATATACTCGTGAAAGTATGACAGTTTATATAGAACAAAACAAACAATAGAGGTGCATTTTTAACATCAGTTTTTGTCAATGGTTCACCATTTCAATTAGAGTCAAGATTCAAGTATGAAATGTGAATATATAGCCTTGTCATGTGTCCCCTTTTGTGTAATAGGTGTGTTTCATACAACATATTTTGGAGAACTGCCAGATCATCTTTGGCCAGGACATCATGTGTCTTTTTGGAGAAACCTCAAAGGGGGATGACAGCAGCAAGTCGGCTGAAGGTACAGGCATCAGTGAATGGCTTTGGTGGGAGAGACAGCACGTGGCCAGCGGGCATGGGAGCCGCTGTCCTGGAGCCAGAGCTCAGCCCAAGGACAGTGACTTCCATGTGCTTCTCCTCTTGGAGGCGGCTCACAGGTCAGGGGTGGGTTCACACTGTCCTGAGACCAGAGGAAGGTCGAGACCAGGTCTCTGACTTCAAGACTTGCTCGTACAGCTCGTAATAGCCCTCTTTGGTATGAGCCAATGTTTGGGAACTTTTGAACAAACTCACTGGAAGCCACATTAGATATCAGGTGTGATGTGGCTGGAAAGAGAGAGAGGGGTGTGGGGTGTGGGCCCTTTTTTCCCCCCACCTTCTTTTTTCTGCTCAGCATTCCCCAAGGCAGCACTGGATCCACAGCTCTTGGAAACAGGTTGAAAGAAACCAGCATCGTTGAGAACAGAAGACTTGACTTGTGTCAAACAGGTTTACCAGCTGGGTTATGCTTGCCCAGTTATTCCAGCTCAGTCTCTGTGTCTTCATTTGTAAGATGTGTATAAAATGATAGCACATATATTGGAATAAAGTTTAAAGATCATAATGGATGTGACGTAAATGGGGCTGGAGAAGTTTGCCTGAGATGAGAGCTAGTATGGTCTAGGCCTCACTAGTCAGAGACGAGTAGCAGCACTCTTCTTATGGGGCAGAGTTGAGATTCAGAACCAGAGCACATGCATCAAGTTGGAGTACTGACATTTCTCTAGGAAATCGTTGGCAAATGCTTTACCCCAGAATGGAGAAGAGTGAGGTGTCTGAGAATGTGCTTAGACTAAGACCACTGTCTGTTTGGCTTTTCAGAAGTGACAACGTCCCCCCCTGTGACTTCAGAGCCAGTGTCTACATTTCCTCAGCAATGCCACACCTGCAGCATGGTAAGGGCCCTCTCCCCCGGGCCCACCCCACCCTGTCCACAGTTGTGTCGTTGAAGAGTACAATCTCCAAGTCACACTGGACCCCTTGCTTTCCTTTCTAATCTATCCCACTGAGAAGTTATTTTTGCTAATCATTTGCAAGGCATCATTGAATTAGATGGAATCATCAAGTCTTGTCCTGCCTCATGTCCATGAGGCACCTTTAACTAATGTAAACACTTTAGGTCATTCTTCTAAGTAGATCTCAGTGAAATAGGCGCTCTTCCATGATTCCAGCCTCTTGCATTTGAATTGTGATTTTTCTTAATCCCTTATTATTCATATTTAAGGAAATCTTCCCACAAAACTTCTTTGTATTCTATCTTTCCTATCATATCACATATGTATCTACTATTGACTTACATATTGATGAAATAAGCATGGTCCCATAGGTATGTGCCTTACAGGACAACTGTTTTACAGCTGAGTAGTGTTCCCTGGTGTGTAAATAGCACATCCTCTTGATCCACTCATGTGTGATGGTGCTTCGGTGCTCTGTAGCTCATGACTATAGTGAATAATGCTGTGCTGAACATGGAGATGCTTGTGTGTCTGCTGTGGTTCTTTTATCAGGCAGAGGATGTGGCTGTGCCACACATGGGCCTCTAAACTACTGTGCTCCATGAGGAATTGGACTGTCCAAGGGACTCTAACTCATGTTGTTACGTTATGATTTTTTGTTTAACTACCACTCAAAAAATGTATGGATGAATATGTTCTTCTTTATCAGAGTTGAGAGTTTACTAAACCTGAGAGGCACAAACAGCACAAACGCACTACAGGTGGCAGCCTTAGGACTGCAAGGTGACTACATGTTTTCGGGGTAGAATATGGTCACCAGAACACCACTCCTCTGCCCATGATACCTAACATTGTACAATGTCATTTGCACAATCCTGGATGAATACATATATCTCTCCGAAAACATTTTATATTTTAGGTTTTCCCAAAATGTTGAGTGAGAACCACTGGGGGAGGAGTGCCAGTAGTGCTCCCCAAGTGATTAGGACGCATCTCAGGAAATGTGTGGGAACTCAGAGGAGAGAAGGTCCCTGACTTAAAATCTATATGAGGAAGAGGCAGACGGCGGGAGGTGGGAGATAAGTCTACTATTCTTCCTTTAATGAAACGTGATGCATGGTAGGTAGGGTGGGATGTAGGAAGTGTGGCCCAGGTCACCTCCTCCTTCCAAATGCAGTAGACAGGTGAGACTGGCCTCCTCCCTGCAATGTGCTAGAAATCTCTGGAGGCCTCTCTCTAGATGTCCCTCCTACACCTGTTTGACTTTAAGATTAGAACTTTACCTGCTCTAAAAGGACCTGAACCTCTGGTGTCTGTTTACCTCTTCAGGATTGTTCCCTTACTGTGCCATCTGTCGTCTCCAATCTAGCAGATTCTCTCCTGTCTCTTACACTTTTATCTATCTGAACTATCCCTTTATCTATCTGAACTAAACACTTGGAATGAAGTGTTTCCTGCCAGCACAATCTGCCCACTGCGAGTCTGGTGTTAGAGCCATCTCTTAATTTCTCTTCTCCTCTTTAATGTCCTTGAAGTATTTCCTGGAATCTGCCCAGCACAGTTACTGCTGGAACCATGTGTTTCATTTTTGTCTCCCCCATGTAAATCAAGGTTCTGTGAGAGTTGGTTCTGGATTCCCTTGTGTCCTTGCTGTGTCACCTAACCCAGGGCCTCTCTTCTTCCAGCAGAGGTCATGGAGTGACCCCCTGGGATGGAGCCTGGCACCCCTGGCTTCTCTTGGTTCCAGCAGAGCCCTTGCAAGCAGGGAGAAGACGATGACATTTCCTCCAGGACGTCGCGTGGACATCTGCCCCCTGCGATCAAGACACCAGCCCAGCCTGAGGGATTATTGCCAGCAGAGCACAGAGGCTGAACCCATCTACAACATCTTGACAGAGGGGTCTGCTGAAAAGGAGGTGTAGCCAGCCAGTCCCTTATGCAAAACTTAAAGGGAGCTGTACTTCATTCTCTCTGTCTCAGGACGGCTGTTGGAGGGTGCCACCTATCAGCAGGGTTTTGCAGGGGCCTTTATCCCTGAAATATGAGGAAAACCCCCATGTTAATCTCACCCACAGCATGCCAGTGGCACACCCCTTCTGCATGCACCCTGCATTTCCTGTGGCTGCATTCCATCCACCTCACAGCTAACTGGATCCTCTGCCTTTCCCTTCATGTGCTGGCTCTCCCTCCCCCTTTACCTTGCATGTGTAAATAAATTTTTGTTTTTGTTTGTTTTCCAAATCATGCCTTTAAAACTATTCTGTTTATATTTGTGTGCAAATGCTCAGACCTACAACCGTCAGACAGAATGGGTCTGCTATCAGATATTAACATTTGACCACTTAACTGCAAATGCTATTTGTTGAACATTTACAGTAAATGAAAGACTGACTGGTTCAGATCATCCCCTCTTTTTGGTCCATCCAAGTCAGGACGTCATTTACTCATATGTTCTGAATGCCTCCAGCGTTCAATAGCTGTTAAATTCAATTATGTGGGATGTGCTGCATGGTTCTTGGTATGAGGTTGACCATACACTGAGGACAGAACATGTCCCTTAAACTATGTGCTGTGCTGCTTACTTGGTAAAAATACTTTGAAACAAGAATCACTGATCTATCTGGTATAGAGTCTTCCCTGCATGAACTTAATAATCCAGTAAGGAACATCATATTTGTATTCGAATAACTTGTGGTACGCATATGGAAACTATAAACATCTTTAGTAGGGTCAAATTTCAATCCACAGTCCTCTAAGAAAGGGTGATTTGGGTTGTGCTGCAGGGTTATTGGTAGGAGGTATGCATGGGTTGTGATTATACACTAAGGAAAAAGCATGTCCCTTAAAGTACTTGCCTCTCGCAGGAGACTATCCCTGTGAGGAGTGATAAGGGGTCCACACTGGCAGGAGGCTTGGTATCTGCTGAGGCAGCTGGCTTTGAGCCGTCATGTTCCTTCAGACCTGCTTGGCCTCCTGGGATCTATCCTGTCTGCATCAGTCTCATCTGTCGTGTGGCCCATTTTCCAGTGGAAGGGAACTGTCTTTACGTAAGATGTTTTCAGTGGTCTACTGTAGTTTAGATACATGACACTGAAGAAGCTGTCAAAACACCTTGTGAGCAAATGAAAATAATGTTCAGTCCCACTACCAAGAAATCCAAGGACAATGCCCTACACAGCTCAGAATGGCTGGGAAAAAAAAAAAAACACCAAATCCCAGTGTGGAAGTGGGAAAGCTGAATCACACCTACAGGGCTTGCAAACATGAGATTCTACAGACATTCTAAAAAACAGTTATACAATCTTTAAGAGGCTAGATTACATACAACTCAAAAAACCAAAACATCAACTACCACACAACCCAGCAATTCTACTCCATGGAGCAAGAACGGAGATTTATATCAATCTATATCGATACACCAGGATATAGATACTTGGAGAAGATATTTACAGTCAAAATTGGAAACAAACCAGTGGTCCCTCAGCACTGTCTTGTGACAAAGCTGAGACACAACCATGTCATGGGAAACTACTAAGTGACACAAGACATGAACTGTCAGTGCAGGCTACAATCGGGTGAATCTCCAGTGATGCTGAATGTGGACAAAAGCAACACCAGAAAGGTTACATAGGTATGAGCTCATGTCTGTAATATTCTGGAAATGGTACAGTTGTGGAAATGGTTGGCAGATTGCGAGTTGCCGGGGAATCAAGAGTTGGTAGAGGTGGGTGGCAGTTGTGTGTGCTTGTAGAGGATAATGTGAAGATATCTGTGGTGACTGAGAGATTCTGGTCTTATCAGGGCTCATATGCTAGTGAATATGTTGTACCCCAGCTTGGAGGGATATTACCATTAAGGGAAACTGAGTGAAAGGCTTACAGAATCTCTCATTATTTCTTCCAACTGTCTGAGAATTTACAGTTATCTCAAACAGATTATTTTTTAAAAGTCAAAAGATGCTACCAGGCAGCAAGTATGGCACTGTGTCAGTTTGGCAGTTAATGTCATGAACCAAAGAACCTGACATTTTAATGGCCCGAGCCTTCACTACTACAGATTCCTCAGGTTCAAGGACTCATTTACAGTGCTGTGCCAAGTGCTGTAGACACACTCCATTATCAGTGGTGAGAATCGAAGCTCAAATGATGTTCACATCCATCCAGAAACGCTTAAACTTCTTCAGGGGTTCTTTGAGGTATCATTACTCAAGGCAAACTCTTAATGTGCTGCTTTTAAGCATCAGAAGAGGTTGGCAATCACAGAAGGGGTTGTCTCCTTTCCTCTGAAATATATTAACTGATTCTTAACTTCTGCTCTGCTTTCATGCAAAACACTTGTTGATTAGACTCAGTGTTGCTGAATAAAAGACAGCCGAATTTGTGTTGTCCGGGGAGACCGCTTCCTGAATCCATGCAAGGAAACTCTGTGGATCTATGAAAATATCTGCCTCTTCCTGAAAAAATTTCATGTTCTCTTCCATTTAGTTTTTTACCTCTATACCAGAGTCCTGTGAGAATTACTCATAACTCAACCCAATCATAGCTAAGTTCCTCCTGTGTTTAAAAAGTTTTGGATAAATATTGTATTCACTGTTGATCTAATAACACTGTTGATCTAATAATTCTTACCTCAAATTTGATTGTTGATTTAGATATCAATGTACTATACTTTCAGCACCTTTTGTTAATTGAATGTTTAAGTTTATTTGATACCAAATTATAAAATCTTCAAAAATCTCCACTTTTGTCTAATGCATATGATGCAATATATTGTCTTTTCTTTCATTTTAACCCTCTTGAAATACTCTGTCTCCAGTTCTCTCCTTCTTAACAGCAGTGGGAATCTTGGTTGAATAACCCTGTCCCACATGTCATAGTTGGCGTGTTCCAGGCTCTGGCCTTGAAATTCGTCTCCATATCCTAAGCTCCCTAATGACCCATTTTTCTCAATAGCTCCATATCTCAGGGACTTCAGCATTTGAGTTAGCCATGGAGCCCTGCTTCGGGATTGAGACTAATTCTTTTTGTAATGTCAAAAGGAACATAAAATTACTGTGTATGTAACCAGTGACCAGTGTTCTGTGTGATGTTTGGCAGGAAACACCCTTGTATGCTGTTGTACATCCAGGACAAAGAGGACACATCTGTGAATGCCAAGCACACCCTGCTGTCCAGAGTCCTGTGAAAATCCAAAGTGGCATGAGGAAGTATAGGTGGCACCTCTTCTTGTTCAATGATGTGTTACTTTTCTCTAATACCAAGTATGTACACACTCCTTGCTCCACAAATAATCGTATTGCTGTATATGTTAGTAAATTACATTTTGCTAACTTTTCTGTAAGAAAATACTAAGACACAATGCTTATGAACTGAAAAACAAATGAGGCTATCACTAAATCATCTAAGATAGAGATGATATAATGTAGCTGAGATAAGAGAAGTTGCTTCCAAGTATAGAGGTGGTGAGTGTTGTCTTCTAGAGGACAGAGAGAAAATCTGTCCTGGCCTTCTTTTTTCACAGGCTACTTTTGAGATAACTCTTGGTATCTGCTGGAGGATTTTATCATGTTACAAAATCTGTATCAAATTATTCATGTTGTTGTTTCTAGGACTACCTCCTGAAGATTGTTTTTATAGACCTCCTGTAACCACTGGGAATAGTAGGAAGTTTAAGTGATCTAAAGCTGTTGAATTGATAAGACCAACAGCCATGATACAGAGAGAACATAGCATTTTGAAGAGGTAGTTGTCCTAGTCTGATCAGGAAGCCATAATAACCTATCCTACATGGGGTGACTTAATCACAACACTATCAACAGCAGGTGGCTTGAAAGAAATTTATTTACTCTGGTCTGGAGTCTGGAAATGATGTCTGGAAGCCAGTTGGTGCTCAGGTTCTGCTGAGAACTATCTCTAGCCTGCGGATGGCCACTTTCTCACTAGTGCTCTCCAGGCCTCTGCTCAGTATCTGTTGTGGAGAGGTCTTGTTCTTATATGACTAACCATCCTACTGGACTAGGATCCTACCTTGATGACATCATTTAACCTTAGTTTCCTCACAAAAGCTCTGTCTCTAAATATGATCCTCTTAGTAGCGAGGACTTCAGTGGGTAAATTGAGGAGTGGTCACAATTTAGTTTATAGTATTCATAAGGAATGCTGCTGCCTTGCACAGGTTTTGACACATTTTGAGAAAATGACCTCTGACACCATCCCCACAGTAAACATTTATAAGTACATTCTTGATCACTGTCAATATGAGGAACTTTAATTCTGTTTCCAAGAACAACTGGGAAGAAAAGTTCCCCCAATTGCACATATTTCTTTCCTGCATTGCATCTGTCTTACATGGAGGAGCCTACCAAGCCCTGTATCATTTTATCCAAGTTGATAATCTGACTTTGGTGCCTTGTGGGACACAGATTCTAATATGTTTCAGCTCATCTGATTGCATCTGATGATTGTGCTTTCTAAAAATCTTCAAAAAATTCACAGATGGTGGGCAGATATGTTGAAACGAAAGATAGAAAAAAGTCATTGTATCACAAGGCTCGTCTCCCTCATCCTCACTGTGACCTAGGCTTTGGATGGAGATTATCTTTTAGGCATACTTCTTCCTAATTTTCTTTATTTCATCAAATCCCTTTGAGTGGTTTGAACTCAGAGTGTGCCATGAATGAGTAAAGTGGATTCATAAGGAAATGTGCACATGAGGGTCTCATCTCATTGCAGCTTCTTCTTTTCCACAGGGAGTTGTGAATAGCAGTGAGTCCCAGAAGGGTGTGTCCAAGTTTCCCTGAAAACCTTTGTAAGACTTTTTACTATTTAAATATCTCCTAAGCATTAAATGTGTGAATTAACAGGCGATGTGGTGGCTTCTATATGATAGGTCAAAGGCAAATTAGGTAGAATTTTCAGAAGGCCATTCTGCTTCCTACCAAATCAAGTACCTTCTGTATCTCTGTAGATGGATAAAGGTCCATCATTGAAATATAGGAGCTCTAGGCACTATTCTGGGTTGATATTATTGATTGACTGATTTTTAATCTGGGCTCACAATGTAAAGAAACAGATTCAGGTTGAGCTAGAATGTAAGGGAATGTGATGCATCAGATAATAACACCGGATATTTAAAATAATGTATGCTTTAATGGATGGAAAACATTTTTTTTAAATAAGGTTGAAATTATGTTTTAAATTCCTCAAATCACTCATATTCGTTTGAGAAAATATTTCTTAAGTACTTTTATAAATCATATATCATTTTTCTTAAGTCATTCCAATACTTTCTGAAGCAGGAAAGATGCAAATGAATACTAAATTAATTATGATGACTAGAATATGCGTGTAATAATTTTTAATATAATAACTAACAAATATAACAACGAAGATAACTGCAGTTAGGCCTCCTAAAACTTTCAAGCAGAGACTATGGTGATACTCAAGATTTAACATTCAGGAAAATGGCTGTGTCCTGCTATTGATGAAGTGTCTGCAGGGCCATCAGGCCCAGATCACTCCACACACTCCCTTGAGGCAGTGTGAGCATCTACAATGGCAGCTACAGGGACTGGAGGAGGCAGGAGCTGGGACCTGAGCAGTGAGCATCAGCTGTGAGCACAAATGCCCTGTAACTTTTAGAAACCAAGTGACAGAGCTCTTGTTGGGTTCTCTCTCCAGGTATAAGAAAATCTTTAAGATAAAAAAGAAAGTCCCCCTGAGCACCATGTGGACTTGCTCCTGTGGGGACAGTGCGGGGCACACCTGCTCCCTAGTGTTGGGCTGGCACCATGACTGCCTGGTGGCCACCTTCAGGTAAGACCTGCAGCTTGGTCCTGTGTTGACACGGGTGGAAAATGGGCAGGGTTTAATAGTGATTGTAGAGTACTCCAGCAGCTGACGTTTGACCAACATGTTATATGACATTGTGTGTTTGTACTTTTACCCAAATTTGGTTCGTATGTGCAAATACATACACGATGATGAATAGTGGGAACACAGGGAGAAATTTACTGTGGTTCTGAATCCTTCTCAGAGCAAGTCCATAGTTTGTTGTAATAAAGTGATTTTCACAAGCAGGTCTATCTTATTGAAGGTAAATATTCTTTACTGTTGTCACACATAAATGCAGAGTGGTTTTGTTTTTTGCACTGTGTTTTTAGTTATGTCATTTTGTTGTCAATAATTATAAATTTGCATTAAATTTGTAAGAGTAAACGTAGTATAAATACCCCACATACCCTCTTATCAAGATTCTAATGTTTCCATTTTACTTAGAAAATAATGACATTTTATTTCAGTGTCTTATTTTCCCTTTTTCTCATGTGCCTGCCTATCATATGAGTAAGTCATTTTTTGGGATCCTACATGCACCTGGTCCTTCATCATTGAATACTTAGACATTTGCCAACAATAAGGATATGTCTTATGAAACCACTGCACTGTGAGAGCTTTAGTTCTGTGTAACTTTGGTGCAACACTTTAAACTACATTCAAGGCCCATGTATTCAGGCAACTTCCCTCATGCCCCCTCTACAGGGCTTGTGCACACAAAATGGAATAGCTTCATGCGCCAAAACGAAGGGAAAATAGATTAGAATTAAGGGCTCATGGTCTACATGTGCTTTACCATGACCTGATAACCAGCTTTGTCTACATATTATGGGTAACATTTAGACAATAATATGAACTCTCCTGTTTTAAAATGTTTTCACTTAGATCAATTTCTCTTTTTTTTATAGACCTTACATGTCATAATTTCTGATAAAGTGAATGTGAACGATGTTATCAACACATCGCTGCCAATGCTTGGTGTAACTGAGTTACTTGCAAGCTACTTTTGCTTACAAGCCAACTTTGATTTTCAAGACTCATAGATGTGTGTGTGTGTTTGTGATACTATACCACTTCCCACATATCAACACATCTTTTAGGTCTGAGCCATATTTTGCCTCCTATATTTAAAATCAAAGGCACCTTGCATGGCAAGGACACATGAAGGCAATTGCCACAGATTCCAAGGAGCCTGTAGAAAGCGGAAGACAGAATCTTGACACTGAACTTCTGCTTCTTCATGAAGGGACAGAAATGGGCCACCCACTAAGTGAAGGACTTAGCCCATTGCAGGGTCATAGATCCCTGGTCTATCAAAGGCACCAGGCAAGCCTCAGGGATGGTCCATGGAGGCTGGGAGGGAACAGACAGGGACCTCCAGAACCAACACCCCCACCTGGCCAAAGAGTACGTGTACTGGCCCATCGCTTTCTGATTTGGAAACAAGGAGATTCTAAGGAAGTGCGTTCTTCAAACTCCTCCTGTGAAAGACTTGTGGTGACCCTGAGTTCTCTCTTGTCCCCAAGGGCTCTGAGAAGGACTACCAGCTGTGGGTGCATGCTGGCAAGCAGGAGGCCCCATATCCATTGTCTGGTGAGTGTCCTGTGGCTGGTGGGCATCCAAGACAGGGCAAATTGGGGTCAAAGTTGTCATTTATAGACTCACTGGAATGGCTGTTCCATTTCAGTGAAGTAGAGTAAAAGTGGCCACCTCGTGCCATAAGCGTCCCCACATTTCGTCAGCAGTTACCAAGCCCTGACTCCAGCCCAGGCCGAACAGCAGCTGCTCACTCAGCAGCTTAGGGTTTAATTGGGGAGAGAAATATGCATGTTTCTTTTTTACATTTTTTCTTGACATGGAGATTCCCTGAATACCTTCATTTATTTACATGATAAATTTTATTTTTTTGAAGATTTATTTTATTTATACAAGAGCCAGGGTATAGGTCAGATACGTGGGAGGGTGAGAGGATTCACCAGAGACAGAGCCGGGAACAGAACAGGCAGACTGATTGAAATACACTGCTGAGGGGAGCAGCAGGCGAGACAGGAGAGGTCTGCTTGCCATGTGGGTTGCTCCGAGGCTGGCGGGGATCAAACCTGCACTGCAGAGGCTGCAGACAGCTTCACAGCGCTGCCCTACATGTTAAATTTTATTAATTTTTTTAAAAGATTTATTTATTTACACAAGCACTGGGTACAGTCAGAAGCGCAGGAGGGTGAGAGAATTCACCAGAGCCAGAGCGGGGAACCGGACAGACTGACAAAATACACTGCTGAGGGGAGCAGCGGGTGGCAGGAGAGGTCTGTCGCGCCGACCCTCGCCAGCAGCCAGGGATCAAACTGGCACTGCAGAGGCTGAGGGTAACTTCGCAGCCCAGCGCTCAATCGCTGTGCCACCAGGGGAGGTCCTGTTAAATTTTAAATGTTTTTTGGTATGAAAGCAATGTGTGTTGGATTGCCCCACATTTTTCATATTCCAACACTAAATTCCTCTGTCCTATTTCCTATCTATTATTGAGCCTCAATTTTGTGAGAATGTGCAAATCCAGTCATGTCTGAACCCGGGTAGAAAAACCCGTAACACCTGCATCATGACTACACTTTTCTCAGCATCTTATAGAAAATAAACTCATGAATGATTCCTCAAGTCCCTAAGGTGTGAACACCCTGTATCTCATGCTCTTTCCCAGCAGTTTTGATGCTTTGCCCATCTCCTAAATACCTGTTAGAACAAATTAACTATAAATGTAAAATAATAATTCTTGGATCGACAAGGAATCAGGCTGGTCAAAGGAAAGAGATGGAGTAAAATGGGTCGAGGGCAGGTCTGTGGTTAACAGAACAGAGATCTCAGAGCTGCCTTCATACAGTCCAGTGTATTCGATACAATTTTATATCTTTTAAAACTCGAGTGAGGTTATTTTCTTTTTCAAGTAATTTTAAGAACAATTAGAAGTGATCTGAAAATCTAAATACCCACCTCATTCTAAAAAATATAGGCTCCCCATCTGGATTACAGGGAGTCCTTGTGACATGAAAGCAAAACCCTTATGAATTGTTTGGTGTTTTATTAATATTCCAGTTCTTGTAAAAGTGTGTGAACAATGCATTGAAAAATACCAAACACTTCAACATAGTCTCCATCAAATGTATGAATTAGATAAAATCATGAAGATTATATGCTGAGAACAGCTTTACACACAGTTTTCCCCACATTCTATGAGCCTATCATCCAGGATAGCCCTTCCAGCCATGCTGAATGCCTTTGTAACACGCTCTCAGTTACCAGCTGGGCAGTCACTCCTATTATCCTGGTTTGATTGTGCCTTATGACTGATACAGAAGCCTCTTGCCTTAAAAGATGGCAGTTGCTGAGATTCTTGTTCTGAACAGAGCATCTGACATGGTATGTGTGCAGGAAATACATGACATTCCAAGTACATGCACAAATGAATCAAAAAATGAACTTTCCTTCCATTTTTGAAACTGAAATGTATGTCATGGCCAAAGTTTAGAGAATTTTAGGGAGAAATAGGAATGTAAGGACTGACAGAGCCAACAAATCCCTTCACAGGCAGTAACTTGGGTGTGTGTTCAACTGAGTAAACACTGTTTTGACACTTGGTTCTGGTTTCTGAGAGCCTACAGACCTCCCTCCAGTGAGGACTCTAAGGGATCCCCCTGGGAAGGAGGGCAACAGTGGGAGGGAGGCAGAAAGCAAGATGCCCCTCTGCTCTGCAGTAGTCCAGGTAGCAGAAGTCAGAATGGAAAAGGAAAGGTATTATAAAAATGGTATCATGCCTGAGATAAAGGTGCTCCTAGGTATCAACATATGTAGGCCACCAATGTCTATTGCCATAGTTACTACATCCTTACACGTCTATATGCCAGGGGCTGCATGGAAAAGAACTGTGTGAGGCTTGGTGCCATCACTCATTGGTCTAAAATGTGCAGATCCATTGGAGACAAGGCAGAAACTAGACCTTATATATTCTTACTTGGAAACACTGAAAGTGAACATTATGTGGAAGGCTCCCACAGCTATGCATTATGAGCAAAATGACCTATTCAAATCAATTTTCTCTGTCCTGTGGAGCTCTTGCCTGTGCCGCTGCCTCAGGCTGGTCCCGGAGAGGGTGTGGTGACCCAGAGTCAGGACCACAGCCTCCTCTCCGGCAGCCCTGGGGGAGCACCCATATAACAGTTGTGTCCACACTCATGGACACTGAGTCTGCTCATCCTTCTCCATCACCCGAATCTGTACTGACACTTCTCTCCCTCCAGGGCGTGAATACCTGCTTGGGAACAGGCACGTTCCTGTCACCACACTTCAGCCTCAGAGACTAGAGGACGTCCCCTCCCCCTCTACCCTGGAGGACCAGGCATCTGTGGGTGAAACCCAGCTGGTCTTGAAGCCCAGGCTGCTCGCACCCGGGAAGCAGGAGGGGAATGGTGCAGTTACATTCACCCTTTAATTGGCTTTGGGGAGAAGGGACACGAGGGGGCCAATGTCATGGGAGAGGCTGAGGCATCACTGTGCTGGAGCCAGAGCCCCACCCAGGCAGTGCCTTCCTTCTGCTCTGCTTCTGAAGGCTGGATCAAGGGATGATGCTGTCCTGACCATCACCCAAAGCACTGCACCCTCGGGTGTGGTTGCCCTCACCTCCTCTCAGTTAAGCCACATGGTTGGGGTAAAGGATATTTGGCAAAATCTTTCTCCTCTGCTTATCTTCTACAGTGTGGTTCCTGTTTGGCTTATGTCTTATTTACCCTGACATGCCTATATGACCACGAGGGTAGTTAGAAAGACAATGAAAGGCTTAGAGTCATGAAGCCTTTCATATAAAATGTACAGATAAGATTAATGTGAAGGTCACATTAATTTACCAGAAGTTCAGCTTCCTGATTAGGAAAACAAGCACAACCAAGCAATAGAATCTGTGAACTCAGCTTTTCAGAGCTGACCAGTGTTTCTCAAAGAGCTACTGGTCATCGTTCCTTTGATATAGAGATTGCTGGGTACAGAAATCACCTTTGGGTAACTTGGTGATTACCCAGCTCAGAAGGCCACCTGAACCTAAGACATGGCCAGCGTCACACAACAGCTCAGGGGATCTGACCTTAGGGTCCCCTACGGCTATGCTCTGCAGGGCAGGGGGGCAGTGGCTGGGAGAGCAGCAGTCATGAAGGAGGGAAATCTAATGGAAGAAAGGAGACCATCGTTGGTCTCCAGAGAGGCAAACAGGAATGGGTCAGTGGAGGAGACTCACATGACATCGACCAATCAGGCTGGGATGAGAGGCAGCCAAAATGATTTCAGTTTTACAGGAAACCGGCTACTTGAGTGACTGGTGGCTCCTACTAGCAGGACACAGGAGTAACTGCATGTGAAGTACCTACACTGCTGGTTAATAAGGGTAGATCACAGAGTTTTGTGTGGGGGCTCCCTGACAATTGTGTGTGAATAGGACCATGCCTCCAGGTTGAAAACCTGGCTTGCAGGTAAGGGGAAGCACAGTGATTCCATCTCGCTCCTCTAGCCATCACAAGTACTGCTGCAAATGTAAATGGTGGAGATAGGTCCAGAGATTCAAATACCACCTACCACCTAATCTCTCTTGTTTCTAGTTCTTGGCCAGAAGACTTTAAAAAAGAAACGCAGCTGGGTGTGGTGGAGGCACTTACATTCTCGCCAGAATGCCTGGGGCGCCCAGGGCCCAGCTACCACATCTGCAACACCAGGGCAGCTGTTTGGGGTGCCTCTCACAGACCATTGTGAGACGGGAGAACTGCCCCCACAAATTTGGTTAGGTGTCACTGTCATCTCGGGTAGCCACCCCGAGCAAGGCAAACTCCAGATGTCAAGTGTCCTCATCTCATTCTCCCCGAAACAAAGAAGACCTTAGCCAGGCCTGGCTTTGGTGGAGGGGCTTTGTTAATATCCCTCAAAAGCATCTCACAGGGGTTGGATTTGTAATTCAGTGGTGGAGCATCAAGACCTCCTCTGGCACAAGTGAATCCTTTGCTTAGTAGGCCCCACAGGAAGCCACAGTGTGGCCTGTGCTCTCTCAATGAGTGCTGAGTGGTCGGCGTTATAGGAGAACATACAAGTCTCTGCTACTCTGTACAAGATGAAGGGGGTTTCTGGTAGACGGGGAGAAATTGTGTTGCCAGATGGAGCATGCTGGCTACCACCTCAGTCCAATGTATACTGGGGAGGTGGCTATGTTGATCACCCACTTCTGAAATAAAACCCTCGGTAGGGTAGGTACCGATCCTAGGTGTCACAGGAGATAAGCCACACACAATGTCCAGCCCCAGCCCCCTTGAGCATACTGCACAAACTGAGACATGCAGACACAGCTCAGGAAGAGAAGACCGCTGAGCAGAAGACCTCCATGTCATCAGACAAGGAGGAGAGCAACCTGAGCCTGACGTATAACAGGGTTCAAAGTATTCCAAGTGTGAATGGGGCACAGTCACGTTAAGGGAATCATCGTGGGCAAAGAGCCTGCAAATTGTTTCCCACACCTGGGGAAGAGCATCCGTGCTAGACACAATACAAACGTAGTGTTGGGGACGGGTTGTCCATAGAGACCTTGAAGCAGAGACAAGATTTGAAAGTGTCCATTTCCTGACAAGGGAAATTTGATGGAAAGAATCATTTAAGATTTTCAGTGTGTGAATGTAGACTGGATCTTTGGGTACAAACATACTCAAAGTAGACAAGAAGCTTTCCATGCTCACATCCCCCTCAGCCCCTCCCACACCACGGCTCTGTAGAAAGCAGCTGTCTGTGCCCGGGTCTTGGACTGAACCTGCTTTCCTTTTCTTCCCTACAGGACCTGCTGGTCCATATAAATGACAGAGGGGCACAGGCAGAAGGCATCTTCAGGAAATCTGCCAACATAAAATGCTGCCGAGTCCTCAAAGAAAAGCTGAATCGAGGGGAGCACATGAACCTGAGTGATGAATCTGTTCACGTGGTGGCATCAGTGCTCAAGGTTAGGGCAGTGGGAGCTCCACTCCCAGCACACTCTGAAGCTGCAGGACTGTGGCATGTTCACAACTTGCCCGGCCTATTGGAATTGGAGGATAACCTTCTAAAAAACACCTCATGAAGGCACCAGTCCAGGGAGCTACTTGGGGTGTTAATGACCTGTACGTTAAATACGCCTTCCTTTTCCTTTGCTTACCATCTCCCAGCTTCACTCCTAAGCACTTACAGCAAAATTACAAAATAAATGACGTTATCCTTGTCTCCACTGCTCTATTTCTGATATCTCCCCATTAATGTTCAGTTTCCCCAATGGGGAGGATATTTACGTTCCAAAATTTGGGGTTAAACTGGGTGAGTTAACATGTGGTTGCCCAAATACATGACTCACCTGCTCTGCCAAGGCCCAGTCTCTCAATTGTGTGCAGGAGCATGTGGGGCATGTGAGCTGTGGTGTCCATATTCTCTTCTTAGGATTTAGCCAGTCGAGATCACTGTGTCCTAAATGACAAGCAAAGGAATGTGTATTTCCTTTTGAAAAACTTCAGAGGATTGGGTGTCACTTCTCACCTGACTTTTCACTTAGAGTGGGTTTGGTAACGTGTCCACCAAGACAGCACTCCCCTGGAAAGAAGGGGGCTTACCTTCATCTGCACCACAGCCACATGGTGCTCTTTGACTGCAATGTTCTGGTTGCAGAGATGCTGTGGAGGGCTGCAGCAGCTGTGTCTGCTCAGAGTTTGGGCGGCCGTGTGTTTGTGGGCTGAGATCAGTTGTTCAAATAAATGTTTTCTCTGTCATTTTTTCAGTTGATATTGGCCTTGAGAATAATTTCATCCTTATATTTTTATGTAAGGATTTTGTTCCCAGGGGTGTGTGCCCTTCAGGCCTGTATGAAGAATGACTTGGTGTCACCGACCAAGCAGGAGGAGAAAATAACTGCCACTCAGAGGTGATGATGGGTTCTTACTCTACTTGGCTCCTGTCTCAGAAATGCAGCCCCCGTACTGTATGGAAAATATTCTCTTCTCCTCCCACCTTTATCCTCTATAATTCCTCTATATTAGTGACCAGACCAAAAAGTTGCACTGGATCACACCTGGGGCGGCCAGTTTAGAGGGTCATCTTGCCATCCTGCTGCACCAAACCTGAGCTTTTCCCTAATTTTATTCCTACGGCATCTTAAAAAAACTTTTTAACATATGAAACTGATAGGATATATGCTATATTACAATCTGCTTGAGGTTTCACCTTTATTTTGCTCAACACTCAACTATCTGGCTCAGGAATTGATCCCGTGAAACATGTTTATGCGTGTTCATGTCGCTTACTCAGCTAGTCTCTTAGATGCCGTAGGTCTCCTGTAGACTCTGATGACAATTGTCATACCCTATTCATACCCCTATTAGGGGGCAATTTGAAAAGCAATTGCTATTAAATTCAACAATAAACTTGCTTGAACCTTAGTTGAGCCCATTCTGAAATGTACTGGGTTTTAACATAGACTAGAGGTTATAAAGGTTTATGCAAATCTCTGTGCATTAGAGTGGATGCAGGAGATACCGCAGGAGTGTTTTCCTGAGACTTTTGTGCAGTTTTGTCTATTTCTTGGGTTGGGCCCTTGACAGATGCGTCCGCTGCTCCCTATCTCTGCATTTCTAACTGCATCAGTGCAGTGTTTGCTTAATATAAAATGTGGGTCTGCCATCAGACTTGTGGACCAGCTGCCAGGCACCCACTTGTTCTCCTGCGCCATAGCTTTGGGGTGTTTCTCAAAATAAAGCTACACTTTTCAGCCACCCAGATGATCGCCTACAACCTAGCAGTATGTGTAACCCCCAGCCTGCTCTGTCCTCCAACTTCCAGCCATGCAGAACCAGAGGATGCTTTTATGAATAAGGTAACTATTGCTTATTTTGGCTTTGAGTCCAAAATGCACTAAAAATATGACTAACCAGACTTTCTATCTGCAGCCGATTTGTGTGTCCACGTTGGTGGGTATGGGAGGGTGGGTTACACAGTGGGTATTGAACAGGTGGTCACTTCCTTCCCATCCAGGACAATGAACACAAGATACATTAAGGCACACGGAGCAGGAGAGGGCAGGGAGGGATAGAAAAGAGGCATCTTTAGGGTCTGCCAAGTCCAGGGTCACCTGTCATCTGATCACTGAGCCGTGGGTGACTTTGGGCAAAGTGCCCAGTCGTGTCCCATCATTCAACACTCATGATGACACCCTGCTCTCCGGTCTTTCCTGCACCTCCTGGGGGTGGGTGGGCAGGACGAGCACCTGGGACTTCACACACAGTGGCTTCCATGCCGAATTGCTCATGTAGAAATCCTGACAAATATGTCACCTCTGTATGGAGTAAGGGAACTAGAAGAGGATTCCCAAACATTCTAAGGGAGCTTTATCATGCCAAATGAGATCCAAGCTCACCCAGAGAGCAAGTGTGAGACAAGGGACTTTGCTTATGTAGCACCCATGCTTCCCTCCAGCCCTTCACTCATTCACAAAACACCAAAAGAAAACTTTGCTCTGTAGTTTGAGACAACTTTTCACCAGGATGACCTGCAAATGTATTTCTCTAATGGACGCTTTTAAAATATTATTGAGTCAATTAAATTTCAATACACCTAGAGCATTACATATATAAAAATTAGAAACATGAAATTGGAGAATATACTTCTCTAATCTAAACATACTATGTGGGTCACTTTAAATTTATCCTATTGTTAAATCATCTTACTGATATGAAAAAATTACCAAGTCAAGGAAACTACCAATGAAATATTATTTTAGACTGTAACTCTTAAAATCTAGTATACTCCAGAAAGTATGATAGCTCATTACAGAAAATGAACATAAATGTGTATTTTTAACATCAATTTTTGCCAATGATTAACTGTTTTGGTTAGAGCCAAGATTCAATTATAAAATGTGAATATATAGCCTTGTCACATGTCCCCTTTTGAGTAACAGGTTTCTTTCATACAATATGTTTTGGAGAACTGCCAGAACATCCTTGGCCAGGACATTGTGTGTCTTTTTGGAGAAACCTCAACGGGGGGTGACAGCAGCAAGTCAGCTGAAGGAACAGGCATCTGTGAGTGGCTTTTGTGGGAGAGACAGCAGGTGGCCAGTGGGCATGGGAGCTGCTATCTGGGACTTGGGCTGCTATCTCAGCCCAAAGACAGTGACTTCCATGTGTTCCTTCTCCTGGAGGCAGCTCACAGGTCAGGGGCAGGTTCACACTGTCCTGAGACCAGAGGAAGGACAAGACCAGGGCTCTGACTTCAAGACTTGCTCATGCAGCTCGAAACAGCCATTGTGGGGTGAGACAGTTTGGGAATTTTTGAAGCCACATTTAGATATCAGGTGTGACGTGGCTGAAGGAGAGAGAGGTGTATGGGGTATGGCCCCTTTTTTCTCCCACCCTCCTTTTTCTGCTCAGTGTCCCCCAAGGTAGTACCAGATCCACAACTCTTGGAAACAGGTTGAAAGAAACCAGCATCGTTGAGAACAGAAGACTTGACTTGTGTCAAACAACCTTTCCAGATGACAAACTGCCACCAGTTGCCAGCTGTGTTTTGCTTGCCCAGATATGCCAGCTCAGTCTGTGTCTTCATTTGTAAGATGTGGATAAAAATATAGCTCATAGTTTATACTGTCATAAAGTTTAAAGATCATAATGGATGTAACATTATGGTGTAGAGAAGTTTGCCTGAGATGAGAGCTCATATTGTCCGGGCCTCACTAGTCAGAGACGAGTAGCAGCACTCCCAGAGTTTAGATTCAGAACCAGATGACGTGCATCAAGTTAGAGTACTGACATTTCTCTAGGAACTCTTTGGAAAATCCTTTACTCCAGGAATGGAGAAGAGTGAGGTGTCTGAGAATGTGCTTAGACTAAGACCACTGTCTGTTTTGCTTTTCAGAGAAGATACCATCCCCGCCTGTGCCTTCAGAGCCAGTGCCTTCATTCCCTCTGCAATGCCACACAAGCAGCATGATGGCAGGGGCTCTGTCCCCTGTCCACCCAGCCCTGTCCACAATTGTCAGCTTCAATGAAGACTACAATCCCCATGGGTCACAATGGACCTTTCTTTTATTTCCTCCCTAAAATATCCCAGTGAGAAACTATTTTTTGCTAATAATTTGCAAGATGTCATTGACTTAGATGCAATCCTCAAGTTTTATCTGGAATTTGGTTAATGGGCGTGAGGCAACTACAACTATTTTTAGATCATTGTTTTTCAGTTTTCACATTGACTCAAGTCTTCTTTTTGAGTTTTGATTTTTAACCCCTTATATAGATTTAAGAATCACTCAAAAAAATTTAATATTAGGGGTTTTTGGAAATTATGAGTCAGGAAGTCTTGGTTGAAATGCCAGCAAGGCTCTCCCAAGTAATTGGGATGCGTGTTAGGAAATGTGTGTATTCTCAAAGGTAGAAGGTCCCTGACTTTAAAACATGCTGAAGAGAGACACAGAGACTGAGGCATAATCTGGGACTTGGGAAGGTGGGAGATAAGTCTAATTATTCTTCTTACTTGAAGAAGATCCTGACAACTGGTAGTAGGGGAGGGAGTGCAGAAAGTGTTGTCCAGGTCACCTCCTGCTTCTAAATGCAGTGGACAGGTGAGGCTGGCCTCTTCCCTTGTGATGTGGTAGAGATCTTGAGGTTTCTCTCTAGATGTCCTTTCTAGGCTAAAGTGGTTTTAAGATTAAAGCCTTACATGATAAAGGACCTGAGCCTCTGGCCTCTATCTCCCTTTTCTGGATTGTTCACTTCCCTGGACCATCTGTCTCCAATCTAGCAAATGCTTTCCTCTCTCAAACTTTTTGCATTTAAATTTCATCCCTTTCCCGCCAACATAAAATAAGCTTTAAAGAAGACTTCCTCTCTACACTGCAAGTCAGGTGTTAGAGCCATCTCTTAATGTCTCTTCTCCCTCTTCAACTTCTTTGAAGAATTTCCTGGAATCTGCCCGGCACAGTTACTGCTGGAACCATTTGTTTTATTTTTATCTCCCCATGTAAATTGAGGTTTTGTGAGAGTTGGTTCTGGTTACCCTTGTTTCCTTGCTTTATCACCAACCCAGGGCCTCTCTCCTTCCAGCAGAGGTCATGGAGTGATCCCCTGTGATGGAGCCAGCACCCCTTGGTTCTGGCTGGAGCTGGCTTCTCTTGGTTCCAGCAGAGCCCTTGCAAGCAGGGCAAAGACAATGACATTTTCTCCAGGAGCGGGGTGAAAATGTGCACCCTGAAATTGAGACACCAGCCCGGCATGAGCGATTATTGTGAGCAGAGTGCAGAGGCTGAAACCATCTACTGATGTCCTGAGAGAGGGGTCCACTCAAGGTTGTGGAGCTGGGCAGCCATATTTACAAAATGTAAAGGGAGCAGCTACACCTCAGGCTCTCTATTTGTCTCTGTATGGCTACTGAAGGGTGCCACACAACTTCAGGGCATGGTGGACCTTTATCCCAGAGCTCAGGGGGAATCCCACCCTCCACCCCCCTGAGAATCTACCCCCACCCACCACACCAGTGGCACATCTTTGCTGCACGCTGCTGCATCCTGTAGCTGCAAATCCTTCTACCTCACATCACAGATGACTGGGCCCTGTCCCTCTCCCTGTCTTTGCTGGTTCTCCCTTCCTCTCTACCCTGTAAATGTATATAAATTTTTTGTCCAAGCCAGTACTTCAAGACTCATCTGTTTATATGATGTGGGCATGGGGTTTGATCATCACAGAGGTGTGAACATGACCTTTAGATCATTTGCTGTGCTGCTAACTAATGTTAACTTAATAATATTTTCAACCAAGGACCAATGATATATCTGGTATAGATGTATAGACTCTTCATTTAATGAACTTAGAGTCTATTAGGGAACACAGGAGTTACACTGAAATTGTTATTGTTGCTTAAAAGGGAAACTAAAAACGTTTTTTTATAGGCTCAAATTTCAATCCACCATTATCTAAGGAAGGAGACTGTCCTTGTGAGAAGAGATGAGGGGGTTCCCCACTGCCAGGGGGCCTGGGTGACCTCCTGAGGCAGCTCCATTTAAACCCATCATGTTCCTTGAGGGCTGCTTGTCCTCCAGGGATCTAGTCTGTCTGTGCAGCAGCCTCGTTGGCTGTCATAGGGCGCATTTTCTAGTGGGAAGGAAGACTTTACACAAGATGTTACCTTAGTTCCCATACATGACACTGGAGAAGCCATGGAGATGCCATGTGAGCACATGCTAAGATGCTCAGCACCAATAGCCAAGTGGGAAACCAAGGACATGTCACTACACAGCTGTCAGAATGGCTGAAATTATAAAAATGAAAGCACCAAATGCTGGTGTGGATGTGGGGAAAGTAGATCACTCCTCAGTGCTGCTGAGAATGTAAGGTGCTACAGACATTCTGAAAAGCAGTTTTTTTAAGCTGCCAGAGGACATACCACTAAAAAACAATGTACAACTACCAAAATGTCCAG